AGTGTGACCTGCGAGCAGGAATCAGGAGCCTGCTTTGTACAGAAAGTATGGATTAAGTGCCTGTTGTATACATGAATAACACTGGGCTACAGAGAAAGACCCCGTATCAAAAAAGTATGAATTATATACCCATTGCATATAGAGAGCATCTACAGCTCCTGCTGTGTATAGAAAGTAGTCTTTATTGTTTGTTTTCATTTTTTGAGCAGGGTCTCAACTATGTAGCTCAGGCTGGCCTCAAATTTGCCATCCTCCTGCCTCCATCTCCTGAGTGCTGGGGTTATAGACATGCACCAGCAGGTCTGGCTGAGTTCAAGACAAAGAAAGTTTGTCTTGAACTCTCTACAGCAAGTGCACATAGAGCACCTCCTATAAAAATCAAGTATTTTTTTGGCACCTACTGTGTATGAGCATACATGGAATATATGAGTATAGTATTAAAATGAATCTGCACAACCAAAAATGCTATAAGCAAAGGTAAAAGACAAATGGCCATCAGGATGAGATCTGTATCACAAAGGGTCATTGTCCTCCATATACAAAGGATTTCTAAAAACAGAAAAAGGCCAAAAGCTCTGTAGAGAAACAAGAAAAGCACAGTTCACAGAAAGCAAAATACAGCTGGGTGTATTTTACAGCTGGTGCACCTGTAATCCTAGCACTCGGGAGGCTAAGGGAGAAGGATTGCAAGTTTGAGGACAATTTGGGCTACTGGGTTACATACACAGTGAGACCCTGTATCAAGAGAAGGAAGGAAGAAAGAACAAGAAAGAGGGAGGGAGGGAGAGAAAGAGAGAAAGAAAGGAAGGAAAGGGGAACAAAAAGGAAAGGGAAAGGAAGAAAGGAAGAGGAAGGAAGGAAGGGAAAGGGAGGGGAGGGTCCAGCTGGATCCTGGAATAAACTAGGAAGAGGGACAGGGCAGGGAGAAGCTGGGCCTTTCTGAATATATGCCGCTTTGTAGACTCAACTTTGGAACTGTGTAAACATCTGGATAATTAGGGGGATGGGCAGTAATAGCTAATGCGGGCTTCCTTTGGGCTGATGGGAACATTCTGGAATTAGAGTGGCAATGGTTGCACAGCTCTGGGTAAAAACCAGTGAACTTTATGCATTTATGGTCTGTGAGTTATATCTACAAATGAGAGCATGCATGAGAATGATGGCCAAATACAAGGTGACATTTCTATGGCTAACTACAGCACCTGCCTCCCAGGAGTCCCCACCCTCAGAAGTTCTAGTGCCTCTTGGCCCCAGGGCTCTGCGGGCTGGCTGGTCCTCCACAGAAGTAGCCAAGTCAGACGATCATGGGGATGAGGGAGGATTGTCATACAATGACTGGCAGCCAAGAAGACTCAGAGAGACAGACACAGGAAGCAAGCTGTGTGACAATCAAGAGCCCCAGACACTGCGAGAGGCAGGAAGGGCCTCCCTGGGGTCTTAGAGGGAGCACAACCCTGCAGACCTGCCTGGAGTTTGGTTTTCGGCCTCTGGATGGTGGGAAGATCTGATTCTGGTTCTGTATTAAACTGCCACCATGTGGGCGCTTGCTGTGGCAGCACCCCCAGGAGAACTGTCCAAGGGCACATGGGCTGCCAGAGTAGGACCTGGGGTTTAAACTGGCAGGTTAGGCCTGAGTGCTCCCAGCCACCCTGAGCTGCTTGTTCTGCTCACCCTCTGTCCAGCACAGACCCCAGAAGGTCTGCTAACAGGAAGATAGGAGCAGGCGGGCATGTGGGGTGTCGCAGGGGTGCAGGGAGGAGGTTCATGGAGGGGAGGGCATGGGCACAGCCTGGCAAGATCCTTCCCACTGCAGTGCCCGTCTCACCTCCCGCAGGGGCCCATTCAGCTCGCCCAGGATGCTGTCTTCATCGAACATCTTGCCCTGGTAGCGGTGCTCATAGTAGTCATGGATCTTCTGGCGGAAGTCAGCAGGCAGCTTGTGGAAGGACATGTACTGCTCCACTTGCTTGTACTGCAGTGGGAGGAGCCAGATCAGCAGCTGCTGAGGAAAAGGTTCCAGCCCCACCCAGGGACAGTGGCCCTGCCTGGCCTGGAGTGGGCTGCCCACCCAGTGCAGCACCAAATACGAGTGTTTATATTTAAACCCAAATATACTTTAAGTAAAAATTCATCAGTGAAATTAATTCTTGATATCCTGCAATCAATATCAAATAATATTCTAAATAGTGATTCTAAGATCTTAACTCTTAAGTGTCGCCAGGTGAAATTCATGCAAAGCTGAATGAGGACATCGGTGCCATCCATGTCTGGAACATATTTATCCTAAAATGCAGCTGTTATCTGAAATATACGTGTAACTAAGCATGCTGAAGCCTATCTGGCAGTGTGGCCCTGGGCATGGTAGCCAGCTACACAAGGGCAGGGCCTCCTGCTGGATGGAGGCTGAGCCCCAGGTGCCTGGCACGCTCTCCCTGCCCAGAGCCTACCCCTGCCCAGCCCAATTCCCTCCTAATGTTCTTTCCAGAAACCACTGGCCAGCCCCTTCTGAGCTGAGCCAGGGGGATGTGGGTGCCAGGCCCTGCTGTCCCCAGGACGGCACCCCAGGGGTGTCCCAGTCCCATTTCCACCCAACCCCGCCTGGCTCCAGCTGCCCTGAGCTCAGCAGAACCCGTGATGCACAGGCGGGTGGCAGCACCAGCTCATGTTTGGGTGCGAGGCTGTGGCTTCCGGACAGTGGGCGCCTGGCCTGGGGCCCAGCTGATCCAGTGTCCCAGCTTTGTATGTGTGTGGTGGAGGACACAGCTCTTGGGTAGGGAAGCCAGCGGGACAGGACAGACAGGGTGGCATTGGGAGGGGTCAGGCCTGTTGTCAGCCCAGGAGAGGGGAAACTGAGGCATGACATGGACAGTGAGCTGCAGTCTAGGTGGGCTGCTAGGGGGTCAACACTCACTTTCCCTCTGCCCTTCCCATCTTCAAGTGGCCCCACATGGCTGTCCCTAGGACCAACCCCAATGCACCTTCTGGCTGGGCAGAGGCTAGACAGGAGCTGCTGACAGCCTTGCTCTCACTGAAGCCTTACTCTGGAACCTGGCCTCTCAGTGTCCCCACACAGCCCCAGGGAGCTCCTGATGCCAGGGGACTGGTCCTGCTGGCTCTGAGCTCCTTGGCTCTTGTCCCTTCCTAATCACCACCCAAGACCCCCTGGGCCTGCACCCCCACTCTCACCCCATGCTCCTGTGGCCCCACACCTGGGTCCTTCCCTCTGTCTCTGTCCTGAACACCTTATCTGGAGCTAGAGGACAGGGCTGCCTCCCCACTAAGATCCCAGGGCAGAGCCCCGTTCACCCTCAGGCCCTGGAGCAGGGCCGCCTCCCTCCTCAGACCTTCTCCTGGTACTGGCGCCGGGAGGAGTCCAGTGACTGGATGAGTGCTGTGGCGTGGCCGATGAACATGGCGTAGCAGGTGGCCCCCACAATCATGCTGAGCATCGTCAGCCAGATGTCTGTCATGCTCTCAGGCGCCTGCCGCCCATACCCGATGCAGAGCATGTGACTCATGGCCTTGAAGAGCGCGAAGGAGTAGAGCTCACTCCACGAGTGGTTCTGCAAGGCCAGGGGCAGGTGGTTTGAGGTGGCACAGCCACCAGGAGCCCCTTAACTTCTGCCCCCCACCTTCCTGCAGAAACCTGAGTGGTGAACTCCCCATGATCCAAGGTGACAAGAGAAACAGACCCAGGCAGAAGACTCAAGTCCCTGAATGTGGCAGCAAGACAGCAGGGACAGGCCTCTTGCCATCTCTCACTTCACTCCCGGGGAAACTAAGTCCCAGAGGGGCCCAACTCTGGGCAGAGTGTCTGTGTGGCCAAGAGGACATACAAAGCCCTAGGGACAGGCAAATTGGAGGCACCAGAGTCACACCTGAGGGGCAGAGGACACCCTTGGGTGTCCTCAGTTGACCCAGCCGAGGAAGGGGGGCAGTGGGCCTGATCAGGAAGTGGAACTGCTTGCACAAGTGTCAGCTGGACAATGAGCTCCTCAGCCCGGGCAGCTGTGCCAGGCACCAGGGAGGGGCCTGCGGGTTCTCCCTCCACTGCTCCTGACTCCATCCAAGTCTGCCTGCTCTGTGCCCCCAGAAAGCATTCCACACCCTACATGTGCCCCTGACCCCAGGGCAAGAGAAAGGCTTGCTCAGGTGCTACCCTGACTTCAGTGCCTACAGAGTCCTATTTTAACAACAGAACCTTTGTTACTTTATTATTTTTCTTTTTTTTTTTTAAGGTGAGACTAAGGTTTGAATTCAGGGTTTTGAGCTTGCAAAGCAGGCACTCCACCGCTTGAGCCACACCTCCAGTCCATTTTGCTCTGGTTATTTTGGAGATGGAGGGCTCTCAAACTTTTGCCCAGTCTAGCCTTGAACCTTGATCCTCCCAATCTCAGCCTCCCAAGTAGCTAGGATTAAAGGTATGAACCGCTGGCACCTGGAAATTTGTTATTTATTTTTTAGGGCTCTGGAAAAAACCTTCCCACTTGAGGATCGCCATGGGCATTTAAAAAATAAATTTGTGTAAAAACAAAAGTGGAATCGACAGGAAGGCAGCATTGAACACGTCTCTGGGTGGCAATGGTCCTAAAAGTTTTCCTGAGTGATGGTAGCTGAGCTGTCATTGGACTTCCCAGGCTGACCTGACTCAGTGGCCATCAGTAGCCCACAGGGCACTGATGGGCATCCGGGTATCAAGGAGCAGGGGCGGGGCCTGTGGCGGGGGCAGGGCAGGGCTCACCACCATGTTGTTGATGGACACCCAACAGTCGCTCGGGAAGTCCTGCAGCATGGGTACCAGGAACTGCAGGCAGCCATCCCAGTGGCACAGCAGCAGCATCATGCTGATAAGGTTGCAGATACGCATCACGGCGCTCGCCAGGTCGTAGGTCATGTGGAAGATCTGGGGGACATGGCTGTGAGGGTCCCACACCGACGGCACCCTCCCCAGAGACCAGAGAGGTGCCCACGCCAGCACTGCCCCTTAGGGCTCTGTCCGCAACTCTAGAATCCATGAAATGCCTCAGACCCCCTCCAACTCCTTCCATTTTAGCCCCCATCCAGAGACCCCCAAATCTCTCTGACAGGATTTCCCAGTCCCCTTACCCAGGTCTCCCAGGATCCTCAACTCATCCTGTGGCCGGCCTGACCCCAGACCTGTCCCCACCCACATTCCTCCTTCCCTCTCAATGGCCACAGGGACAGGAGTGGGTCAGAGGCAGGACTGGGGCAGGGCATTTGGACTTGAAAGGGGAGGCTGGCTTTGTGTTTCTGAGACTCAGTTTCCCTACTAGCAGGGACTTCAGATCCCTCCTCCCACAGAGCTGAACAGAGCAGGCACGGGAGCAGCTACCTGACCCTGCCAAGTGCTACTCCTACAGTACACAATGCTGCCCCAGTGTCCCACACCTGCCCTTAGAACCATAGTTCCAAGCCACACTGCACAGCCACACCCATCAGTCCGTGGTGCAGTCCTGGACCCACTCTTGTAGCATTGGTCCAGCCCCACGCCAGACGCCTTCCTTTGAAGCTTTTTTTTTGGTGGGGAGGGGGTCCTGGGGCTTGAACTCAGAGCCTATACCTTGAGCCACTCACCAGCTCCTTTTTGTGAAGAGTTTTTTTTGTTTTGTTTTGTTTGGGAGATTGGGTCTCATGAACTATTTGCCTGGGCTGGCTTTGAACCACAATCCTCCTGATCTCTGCCTCCTCAGTAGCTAGGATTACAGGCGTGAGTCACCGGTGCCCAGCTGCTTAGAAACTCTGACCCCGCCCTTGCCGCACTGGCCTCAGCCCCCCCTGAGGCCCTGCCCCCTGCCCACTAGGTCCTACCACCTTGGCCCCACCCACACCAGAGGCCCCGCTTCTGCCCTGCCCTCACCTCTTCCCACTGGTGGATGTAGCGGATGAGCCGGGACAGGCGCAGAAGCCGCAGGAGGCTGAGGATCTTGGTGAAGCGCACGATGCGCAGGGCGCGCGCCGTCTTGTAGACCTCGGAGTCAATGCCCTTCTCCACAATGAGGAAGATGTAGTCCACCGGGATGGACGACACGAAGTCCACCACGAACCATGTGCGCAGGTACTTCTTCTTGATCTTCTCGGGGTCTAGGATGATCTCTGTGTTGTCCTCAATTACGATGCCCGTGCGGAAGTTCAGCACCAGGTCCATAAGGAAGAAGGTGTCAGAGACCACGTTGAACACGATCCATGGGGCTGTGGTCTCGTCCTTGAAGAAGGTGATGCCCACAGGGATGATGATGAGGTTTCCCACCATGAACAGCAGCATGGTGAAGTCCCAGTAGAACCTGGGGGAAGCAAGGCCGGCTCAGGTATCCCACCTTTGCCCATATTGTGCCCTGTGCCTGGTGCCTTTCTTTGGAGGCACCTTCAAGGACCCCAGATCCACTACTCTGGCAAGGGCCAGACTTGAGGCCTGGGGTTAGGGAAACACATACACATACACATACACATACACACACACACGCACACATACACACACACACGCACACACACACACACACACACTGCCTAATGCCATCTCTGGCCTGCTCTGACCTTCCGTTGTAGGTGCAGGGGCCTAAGAAAGCCCAAGCGTTTGCTCAAAAATAGATGAAATGTTTCCCATGACCAAAGAGAGACAATGTGCCAGATGCAAGGCTGGCGTTCAAAAATTATTAGTGCAAGAGAAAAAGGTACAGGACAGGAGCGGGGCTGGAGGGTGGGGAGTGGAGTGCTTGGGGCATGTGCAGGAGGCACAGAGAAGCTGGCGGTGGCAGGCATGCAGAGAACAAAAGGCTGGGCCAGGAAGAACATGGTGGAGACTACCCCATACGTAGCTCCTGTCCCAGAAGCTGTACACCCTGAGCCATATTGGGGGTAGGGCTCCTCTATGGTTACTGCAGGCCACCTCAGAAAGCACCTTGAGGCAGGGCACCAGTGGCTTATGCCTGTAATCCTAGCTAGTCAGGAGGCAGTGATCAGGAGGATTGTGGTTTGAAGCCAGCCCAGGCAAATAGTTCTCGAGACCCTATTTCAAAAATACCCAACACAAAAATGTACTGGTGGAGTGGCTCAAGTACCAGACACACACACACACACACACACACACACACACACACACACACACACACACCTTGAGGGCCTGGACAGGGGTGGGGGGTATCCATCCAGGATGGAGAGAGAGGCCAGGTATGGGCTGGGCTGGCACCCTCACAGACAGGCCAAGAGGGTGGGGAGGAGAGCAGTTCACAACTTGGCAAATGTTTGGACATTTAATATAATAAATAAGCGTACTAAAGTGATGATGGATCACTTCTACTCCCAAGTACACCCAGACCGGATACATGTCCCAAAGTCAATCCCAAAATTCTTCCTGGGAAACACTGACAGAAATGGGTCTTCCACTCAGGGATTGTCTATTTACGGGCAGGTATGGTGTGTGAATGCCTCATGGGGACAAAGGCCACATGGACAGATACCTGGCCCTCAGCTATCGAGAAAATGCAAATAAAAATCTCTCGAAGGAAAAATTGGAGGCACCTCACAAAGTTAGATGCAGAGTTCCCAGAGAATCAGCAGTCCCTCTGAGGATGAGGCCAAGAACAGAGCAAGGTCCCCAACAAAGCTTCACCCCTACATCCATAGCACATGGTTCACAGCAGCAAAAAGGCAGAAATGGCTCCCGTGTTCATGGACAGATGAGTGGACACTTAGAGCAGAGCGGGACCTTGAGGACATAGCACTCAGTGACAGAACCAGACACACAGGCCCCAGTGTATGACTCCACTGATAGGAAATGTCTAGAACAGGTGAATCCAGAGACAGGAAGTGGACTCATGGGTGACAGGGACTGGATGAGATGACTGCTCTTGGGGACAGGCTTCCTTTCAGGTTGATGGAATTCTGGAGAAAACGGCACAATGTGGATGTGCTTAATGCCAACGGACTATATACTTTAAAATGGCCAAATGGAGCTGGGTGCTGGTGGCTCACACCTGTAATTCTAGCTACTCGGGAGGCAGAGATCAGGAGGCTCGCGGTTTGGAAGCCAACCCAAGCCTAATAGTTCACGAGACCCTATCCTGAAAATACCTAACACCAAAAGGGCTGGTGGAGTGGCTTAAGGTGTAGGCCCTGAGTTCGAGCCCCAGTGCTACAAAAAACAAAAAAAAGCCAAATGGGAAATGTTAGGAGATATGTTTTAGCTACACTATAAAAGAAAACCCTCTGTCAGGTGCTGGTGGTGCATACCTGTAATCCTAGCTACCCAGGAGGCAGAGATCAGGAGGATCAAGGTTCTAGGGCAGCCTGAGAAAAAAGCGAGACCCTATCTCAAAAATACCCAACACAAAAGTGATGGAGTGACTCAAGTGGTAGAGTTCCTCTCTAGCAAGCTCAAACCCCAGTACTACCAAAATAAATAAATAAAGTTTCAGCAGCCAGCACTCGGGAGGCTAAGGCAGGAGTTTGAGTTTGAGACTAGCCTGGGTTACCCAGGGAGACCATGTCTCAAAAAAACAAGAATGAAAACTCCAACGCTCATTTTCTTTTGCTCTTAAAGTTGGGGGGAACCCTCTCCAACCCTGATGGTGTCCCTACCAGGTGGGTTTGTATGTCTGTCTTGTGAGTCCAGCCCCCTGCTTATCCTCTCTCTAGAGAAGACAGCAGTTGAGGGATTAGCCCACATCAGCACAAATGAGTAAAAATGTGCCCGCGGCCACCGGTCTAGCCGCAGTGAGCTTGCTGCCTCCCAGCGGCTATACATCGGCTCCTTCCACTGGACAGCACCACAGGGTATAGCTATGAACACTACGCCTGCTGGGGCATCAGGCGTTTCCACTTCGGGGAATTGATCTCAAGGAAATTGTCCAAAGGGAGAGAAAAAAATTAAAGAGTGATTTGTACCAGGATGCTCGAGGCAGCTTGGTTTGCTAGCGCCAAGGACTGGACAGGACCCAACAGCTCCCAACACGGCAGTGTGAGCCAGGCCTACCTGGCATCTGCCCACCACACAAGTGACCTTGGGGGAGCTCTCCAGCCTCTCAGAACCTCAGTCTCCTCTTCTGTCCTTATCCCATTGGGGTGAAGCCCCTTTAGAGAAAAGTTGGGGAAAATTGTAGCTATGTGGGGAAGGGGCTGGGCCAACTGGAAGCCCAAACACACCCACCCAAGTGGGGACAAGACCTGGAGAGAGCTGAGAGGGTTGACACCATCTGGGGGTGCAAAGGGGTCCCTCAAACCTCAAGGTCAAAATCAAATAACTGTGCTTGAAATTCCAGACCTTCCTTTGCCTGGATCTGGATAGTGTAGCTGGTTTAGAACCTGATCTGGGACACTGCTCACCCACAGACCTCAAGGGCCCCAGCACTGGCAAGATTGAGGGGCCCCACCTACTTGCTTCCCAGCTCCCCTCCACCCCCAGAGTCTGCTATACAAGTCTCAGTCCAAACCTCACCCTCTCTGGACCGAGACCTGCCCCTCCCTTTAGAGCACATGCCATGGGCTACAACAAGCCACAAAGCAACCAAGGCCAAGGGGCCTACAACACCTCTAGTCATCCAACAGGGGTGACTAGAAACCTCCAAGGGGATAGAGCTAGAAACCACTGGAGGGGCCAGGTACCAGTGGCTCACACCTGTAATCCTAGCTACTTGCGAGGCTGAGATCAGGATGATCTAGGTAAGGCCAGCACTGGCAAATAGTTTGGGAGACTCCATCTCCAAAATAACCAGAGCAAGATAGACTGTAGTTGTAGCTCAAGTGGTAGAGCACCAGCCTTGCAAGCTTGAAGCTCTAAGTTCAAATTCAAGTCCCACAAAGAAAAAAAGAAATCACTGGGGGGACCCTAGAAACCACAGAGGTGTCTAGAAACCAAAGGAACCCTGAAACATACCATAAGGACACTGTTCACAGTGGCACTTCACAGACATTCTTTCTTGGGGTGGGCTGGTGCAGGCACCACACTTCCCAGCTGACAGACCGGCGGGGGTGGGGGGGCTACCCAGCTAGGGAGTAGGATGCAGGACTGGAATTGAAGCCTGTCCTTTGTCCCCAGACCACACTGTCTGGGAACCTTCTTAGGCTCCAGTGACCCTCTGGTCACACAATGTGGTCTGTCTTTCTGGGCAGGACAGAGTTCCTGAGTTATGGGAGGTCCATGCAAAGGGTGAGGAACAGGAGAGGGACCAGGGAGTGACTGCCCCCAAGGTCCCTGGTGGGGTGGGCCAGGATGCCTCCAAATCCTCATCCTTCCCAGACAGCCTGGTCCCTGTAGAAGGGGTCAGAGGGGAAAGGGAGGGTCATGTGTGTCCCCTACCCTACCAAGGGAAACTGAAACTGGAGGTAGAGGAGACCCCAGGTTACCCACCCTCATCTTGCCCGGCCCTAAGCAGTGATGTTGGGAATTCCTCCTGCTCCAGGTCACCATGCCCCAAAGGGAGGGCCCTGGGATGGCTGTCCAACCCCACCCGTCTCACCTCCTGGGCTGTGCAGCCTTGGGTGACCACATACTTTCTCTGATGCCTCGTACACCCCATCCTTCAGCCCCTCCACATCCACTGCTGCTGGACCAGGGTGCCTAGAGCATGTCAACCATCGCTGTCCAGGGCCTTTCTGTTGAGATCCCAGCATTGACCCGGGACCACTCCTCTGCCATGGGAGAGTTCTCAGCAAGATTGTGAACCACAATTAAATCCTGTGTCTGAAAACTCATATCTAGCTGGGCATGGTGGCCAGCACTAGAGGAGGCAGGAGGATGGATCCAGAGTTCCAGGCCAGTCTGCACTAAAGTGAGACCCGGTTTCAATAAACCTAAGGGCTGGAGTGTGGCTCAGTGGTGAGCACTTGTCTGGTATGTACAAGGCCCTGGGTTCATCTCTCACAAGTAATAGAGAGACCAGGTCATGGACTCGCTTCTGCAGGGTCACCGAGAACCTTGCTGTGTCCTCAGAGCAGCCCTAACACACAAGCCAGAGGTGAAGGGTAAGGCTGAGATCTCCTGGGACCATCCCCCTCAGCCTGTGAAAGAAGGAAGCCTGGAACCCCCAATGGCCCCACACGGCACAAGACTCAGTGGGGACCCTGGCAGCTGATACATGTGAGCTCAGCTCCTGTTCTCTCACAGCTGCCCAACTAGTCTCTCCAGTCAGATGGGAAATCTGTGGCAGCCAGTAATAACTGAGCCAGTGCGGTGCTCAGGGTCACAGGGTCTCCCTTCCACCTGCAAGAGTTCCCTGACCCTAAAAGGTCATCAGGTCCCATAGCAACCAGGTGATCTAATGCATCAGCTGGGGTGACAGACAGGATTCTGAGGCTACAGAGCTAAAGTGGCTTGAGATCACTTAGGGTGTCCCTAACCTCCTCAGTCCATGTGGAGGACTCTATAGGGTCCCAGCCCCTGCTGGAGCAGGGGGTCCCAAGAGCCTGGCTGCTGGAACCCTGAAGCCAAGGTCAGGGCTCAGTGGACGAACGGGGCAGCAGCGTCACTCCTGGTAGATCTGAGATGTCGCCAGGAAGCAATCCAGGGATCACAGATAGGGACAAATCCGGAGGGATTAGAGGCCAGAGGTCAGGGATTAAGGGTGAGGCTCAGATGGAGGATTAGATATGAGCCTGGATGTGAAACTGCCTCCATCCTTGGCAGGTGTCAGGGATTAGGGATGGGGACTCCAGTGGGGGAGGTGGCTGGATTCCCCACACTCCCAAGACAAGGCATATTTTCAAGGACACATGTGCCAGGCACCAGGGACACTCAATGGCCGGACAGGACAGCCCTCCCCTGGCTCCCACAGAGAAGGAGCATGAGATGTGACAGTGTACAAGAGACTGGCCTGGGGGCACTATGGCCCAAGTGGGTAGGAGGGCTGCCCATAGGTCTTGAAAGAAGATAGAGTGTTGATACCCAGGCTGTAGGAACAGTAAGTGAAAAGGCCCTGAGGTCAGCCCAAAGTGGACAAAGGGATAAGGAAGAGATGAGAGGCAGAGGCAGGAAGGTCTAAGCGGGAGGACAGAGGGAGGAGAGACTGTAATGTGGCTAAGCCCCTGCTAGCAACCAAAGGCTGGAGAAGAAGTGAGGGTGACCTGTGGGGGATAAGGGATCAGATCCTGTGCTGTTGCCCTTGGGGTGAGTTTCAGAGCTAAACCACAGAGTGTGCTGAGGGAGACAAAGGCGGGTCTTGCCCAAGCTGGGGGCAGCTGAGGAAGAGACTCTGGAATGTCTCGTAGGCCCCTGGGGTCTTATCCATGACACCAAATCTGGAGCTTTTTGTGGGACCTCAGGGGAGGCCCTGAGAAAAGGAAGGGACCCTAGCCACCACAATCCCTGACCCCTCCCTGCAGACCATGGAGACTCCTTCCTCTGCAGAGGGAGGCTGAGCCCCAGTCCTCCCTCCTAAGAAATGCCTGGACTCACACACCTGATCCTCACCTACCCCAATATCCCCTCTGGATTATGTGGGTTTGTTCTAGGCCCTAACACAGGGATTCATCACCCAGGGATTTGCACAAAGAGAAGCACCCATCCTGATCTCCCGTTGATCTGGCCATCTGTGGGGAATGAGGTCTTTGTCCTATCAGGTTTTTGGGGCAAGCCCCCTCTCTTGGAGAATCCAGGGGATGAGACAGAGTCAGAATTGGCATCAACAGGTCTCAGTGTAGTCTAAACTCTTCCTCACACCAGGATCCCTTCCTTCCCCCACTGTCACACCTGCTCTCATCCTGGCCAAGCCTCAGTGTACAAAGAGGGTCAGCCAAGGCTCCTTCTCCACCTTCCAATTCCCTTCTCTGTGCTGAGCCCACAGGCCTGAGGGCTCTAGCAGGGGTGTATATAGCCAATACAGCTCAAGAATAAGTCTCAGAGCCACTGGTGTCAGCCAGCATCCACACTCTGCCCCTTGGCAGACTGGACTCAGTTAACATGTTGTGGCCATCTGTCATGAACCAGGATGGGACAAGGCTGTGGTTAAAGGTCAAAAGAACAGAGGTGAGGCATGCCTGGGGGAGCATAGCTCAGGTAAAGGCTTGTTGCTTAACAGGAGAGAAGGGGGGTGAAATTTAAACCCATCCAATTCAGCAAGGATTGTGACCGTCAGACACCCACTGTCTCCCCCACTACCTCCTTACATGTGGGGAAATCAAGGCAGAGAGGCCCAGAGAGGACCCACCAAGTCACAGGAAACTGTGGAGCCAAATCCTATCCCGGACTCAACTTCCACAAATCCCCCAAAACATGCTCCTCTCATGGCCAGCCTCCAGATCTCTCACATCCCTGCCTCCCAGTCCTCTCCCAGGTTGCCCCACAGCCAGGCATCTTCCTTCTCAGCTTCCTACTTCCCCCAAAGCCTGGTCAGGGAGAGCATGATCCTGTTCACCAATCAACTGTCCCCACCCTGATGGCAATGGATGCAGGCCAATATACAGGGACAGATCCACTGGGAAGCCGAGGTGGACAAAATGAAGTAAGATGCTCCAGCCCCTGAGTGGGCTGCACACGGTTTTGAGAATTAACACACACACACTATCCATCGCTCACCTTCAGGTGCCTGAAATATCTTGAACAGAATTCCTTCCCCTACCCAAGAAATCTACCCACATATCTTTGTAGCCTGGGGGAAGGGATCTCTTTACCCTTATTAAATCAACATGCCTAAGGTGCTTCCAACAGCCTTGCGGAGGCTGTTCCAGTAACCCACCAGGGATCTGTCTCCACATTGAGTCAGAAGGATCTAGAAATGTCACAGGTCCCCAGATGTGGGAAGGTTGAGAGATGGATCTTTGAAATTTAACCACTGTTGGTTCCTCTGCCCTGACTATAGGCCATGTCCCCTCTTTCTTGCTTGCTCACCCTCCCCCTCATTTTTAAATCTGCCTGACCAGCTTGCACTCCAGATTATCCACATGGTGGCATGGAAGTCTTTCCATAGTTCTGAGCACAGAGCAGGCCGAATAGGCCAGGGTCCCCCAGGTGATTGTGTGCATGTAGTCCCAAGAAGACAGGGCCCAACTCCTCCTGCCAGTCTCCTCCCCGTGGTTGAGACATCCAGCCACCAGTCACCTCTCCCCCAGGTCAAGAGAAACCAGGACCTCCCCCTGCCCAGGCCTCCGCCTGCCAGCCTCAACACCAGCCTGGAGTCCACCACTTGTTGGCTGGTGTCCTGGGGTGTGGATGATGCTGGAGAAGACTGAGGAGGGAGAGTACTTCCTGTAGCCCTCCCCTGCCCATCATGTCCCTGATTCCCCCATCTGGCCAGTCGGCACTAGCTCCCTACTCACAGTGGAGCTAGGCAGACCAAGGTGCTCTGGGGAGTGAGCCCAGCCTTTCTTCATGTCCCACTTCCCAGCAGGAACACTAAGCGGAGGGCCAGACCTTAGTTTTCCCATCTGTGGAGGAATGCTGAGACCTCAATGCAGGCAGGGAGAATCCAGGAGTTCAGAGGTTTCTGGGGTCCCACCTGGGTGTCTTTGACACCAAGCCTTTCCTGAAACCTAGGATACTGGTGAAATCTTAGTAAGGTCTCCCTGAACCTCAGTTTCACCAGTTGTTAAACACTGGGGTATGGAAGGATCAGGGAAAAGGAGAGTCCCACAGCTCTCCTTGCCCAGCTCTGAGGGTACACCCTCAAGTGTGAACACAGGTCCTTTGGGACTCTGGCCTGAGGAAGGAGAAAGGAAGCAGATGAGTAGGCGCTACAGGCCTGGTGCTGTCCCTGGTGCTGAAATCTCGCCCAAGCAACTGAGTGTCAAAGCAGTGTTGTCTACACCTCTGCACCCCACTCTCACCGCACTGGGGACATCCCTGCATGCACACAGCTTACCCCATCGCCTGAGATACACACTTACTCTGGACGAGCGCGCACACAGCATCCCAACACACCTCAGTGATCCACCAGATCACCAGATACACCCCTAGGAACACGCCTCCCCAGATTACTGGGCACACGCCCCCAAAGACCCCACCCTGTCACACACTCATGCTCACACACTCAGGGCCTGCAGTGAAACGCACCATCTGCACTCTCCGGCCACACATCGAACATCCAGGAAGAACTGCAAACACAGTTTGCCCCTGTCTAAGCCTCTCCACGCATTACAAGCTCAGTCCACAACAATATCTACACACTGCACAGCGCTCGCTGCACAGCGGCTCTCAAGAGACGCACCTGGAGACCCCGCACGCTCAGTGTCGGGTCGCTCACTCCCTAAGCCTGTGGACCCAGGACGCGCCTGCTGGGGCGCAGGTGGAGACTGTGGGAGCGCGCCGTGCCTGCTTAACCCCCCTCCCCGCGGCCTCTCCCGGGCGCGTCCTTCCCCTGCGCCCTTCCTTCCTCGCGCTCCCGTTCCCCTCTATTTGTCCTCTTCGCCCCTCTGCGCTCAGACCCTGGCCCTGCGGCCCGAAACGCGCGCTCACCGAACCAGCTGAACAGAAGGGCTAGGGGAGCCAGGGAGTGAGGGAAGGGGAGAGCTGGGGTCATCGGAGGAACACCCGAGTGCCCTCCCAGGTCCCTTCAAGGGCGGAGCCTTGCGTGCCCGGGTAACCCTAGGGCGGGTCCCGGGCACGCCCGAGGTCACCGAGGGGCCCCGAGGTCACCGGCTGGACGCGCTGCCCCGCCCTCCCGGGCGCTCCAAGGACGGCCCCGCGTACCCGCTCGCCGGGCCCCTCTGCGCCGGCCGCCCCTCCCGGAGGCGGTACCTGAAGTCGCTGTACGGATGGATGATCCAGGCCCCCGCCGACTTCACGCGCTCTTGCTCCCGCTCCACCGCCTTCTGGCTTCCGAACATCCGCAGCGAGAACTTGTTGACGCCGGGCTGCAGGAGCGCGCCGAACTGGCGCTGCATGAAGCTGGCCTGACTGCCGCGCGGCTCCCCTGCCGGGCCCGCCTCCTCGCTGCCCGCTTCATCCGCTGGCCCCGGAGCTGCCGCGGGCCCCGAAGCCGCCCCTCGACACGAAAACGACACCTTGGGGCCCCGCGCCGGGCCCTCGGGGCCCGCGGGGCTGCACTGCGGCTCACCGCGCCCGCACTCGCCATTCGGGCTGCTCTTGGCTGCGCTCGCTGCTCCGGGTGTGCTCGGGCGGCCGCATGAGCTGTCCCGGCTGCGGAGCCGGGCGCGTGGGCCACCCTCGTCCACCGCCTCGGGGGCCGCCGCCTCGACCCGTGGTGGCTGCTGGGGGGGCGCGGGTGCAGGGCCCGGGGGTGGCGCAGGCGGCGGTGGAGGTGGCGGTTGCTGCTGGGGGGGCGTGGGCGGCGGCGGCGGCCCCGGCGCGGGGGTCGTGCCCGGGCTCTCTCCGGGCCGCCCGCCACCCCCGCGCGCGTCCATGGCGAGGCGGCGCCGGGCAGTGCGGAGCGGAGCCGCCGCCGCCGCCGCCGCCGGCCGAGCCCGAGGGAGGGGGGAGGCGGGGGCGGGGCGGAGCCCTGGGGGCGGAGCCTAGTCCGCGGGGGAGGGGCGGGGGCGGAAGCCCCGCCTCCACCTGCGCCCCCTCCCCCCCCGCCCGCACGCCTGAATGGGCAGCGCAAGGGAAACTGAGGCGTGCTGCAGCGGACGGCCCAAGGTCAGAAGGCCCAAGGTCAGAAGGCCCTAGATGTACGCACTCATCCACTCAGAGGGGAAACTGAGACCTTTGAGGTGGAAGGACACGTCCAAGGTCACAGAGCCCAGCCTGTGGACAGGGACCTTTGCACGCGATGCCAGCGAGCTTCTCCACCTGAAGCTCAACCCTTTGGGGGAGTGCGCAGCGAGAGGAGCGGCCGCGGTCGCTGGCTTCGGAGACTTGGGTGCCACACTCCTTTCTGTCCGAAGTTGTAGTATTTCCGAAATAAAATATGCTTGTAAAAGTCACCAGAGTCCTGGCGTTATTGTTTACACATCCTGAACAAAATCTCTTGAACATGTATGGGGCAGGGCTGGGGTCAATTCTGGGAGGCTAGAGGTCCCACATTCACCTCCTCTCTTGGAAACTGAGGCAGAGCCTGGCAAGAGGTTGCCCTCCTATGGTGGTGGCAACCCTATCCCCAAATGGTGCCCATGAGTGGAGTGTTGACTCCTCCTGAGAGTTTGGTGTACTTTGAGTTCCCTAGGGAGACACAGGCTCACCATTGCTACCCCAACTCCATGTTCTTTTCTCTGCCCCTTTGGTTCAGGCTCCAGCTGCTTGGCCTTCATCCCTAGCCCTGGGGAGGAAGGGAAGAATTCTTTTGGGGCCAGGGCAGCCTGAGGCTCTGCTCTGAGCTGGAGCTAGACTGAAAGGATGACACTGGGCCTGGTCCTAGCCTCCACCTCACACTAGCTCCACCAGAGAAAGTGGGGAAGGCTGTCATGAGAGGGAGGCAAGAGAGAAGAAAAGAGGTACAGCTCTGACTCTGAAATGGTGGGAAGAAAGCCACAGCCTGGGAGACAGGGAGTTCCAGGACACTTCTGGTCTCTCCAGTCCCCTCCTCATTCTCTCCTAATTTGGGTCCCCTTGGCCCCTTATGTACCCTACTGGTCCCTACCTGTCCCTCCTGGACCCCCTCTCTGCCCTTCTGGAGTATCCTGGACCCTTCTGGGTCTCCCTGGTCCTTCCTGGACCTTTCAGAATCCTTCAGCCTTTACAGTTTCTGGCCTGATGTGATACTGAGCAATGATGCTGTGCTCGTTGGGTGCTCTCCACCCACTGGGTTATCAGGGCCACAAGTGTGGAGATGTGACTTGTCCCTGCCCACAGCAGGTGTGTTCAGTAGTGACAGGGATGAGCCTTGCGTCATTGTGTTTTCATCTGACAGTGGGCAAGCTGAGCTCCATCTCTCTCCCCCGCCAAACTGCCCCAAACCTGGGGACTCCAGAGACTCCCACGCCACTCTGGGCCATCGCTTCTGAGTGGGCAGGCAGCAGAGTTGGCAGTGCCAGGCTGTGGCCTGCCCCAGGGCAGATGCATGTTCCAGCTGAAGGGAGACCTTTTATGTTCACCCTGGGAAGATGTCAGGCTGGGCAGGTCGCCAGAACCCTGAGGCTTACTGCTAAGCTATGGAAGGAGGCAGCTGGCTTCAAGAGAACCCACCTTGCCTGGCAGTGAGGAGAGGCAAAGACACCTCTCCCAGTCCTCAAGTCATGGAAGAGTCCTTCTGGGACTCCAGGGATCTGCCCCCTCTCTGTGCCTCAGGCCCTAGGCAATGCCCCCATACTGGGCCAGGCATCACCGGTGAGTCTGGGGACTGGCCCCAGCTGCCCATTCTCTCCACACCCACGCTGACCACCTGCCCAGGCCAGAGTGCTCTATTGTCCATTTATCCAATAAATACTCATTAAGCACAGGATCCAGGGGCCAGGGATCCAGAATAGGGCTGATAGCCAGGCAGAGATGGAAGATAATCACAGTAAATGTGATGTTTCACATATATCCTGTCCAGTAGAGGCTGGTAAGTGCAGAGAAAGGATGAGGAAGGCGAGCATCAGAAGACCTTTAGCACTGAGCACCAGTGGCTCACACCTGTCATCCTAGCTACTCAGGAGGCAGTGACCATGAGGATTGAGCCCCGGCAAATAGTTTGCGATACTCTATCTCGAAAAAAAATCCATCACACACACACAAAAAAAGGGCTGGTGGAATGGCTCAGTGTGTAGGCCCCCTGAAGAGGAGAGGGTTGTTGTTTCAGGGACTTCTATGGAGACCATCTAGGCATGTGGCAAGGTAGGCACAAGGCCCTGAGGCCTGGTCTCATGGGTTTGTGGGAGGAACTAGGAGATCCAGAGCTCAGGGGGCCAGAGTTAGCTGGTAGAAGCTGTATAGACAGATCTTCAGACTAAATCCACCCTGGCCTGTTGCCTAAAATCCCCATCGCATTTGGAAGAAAACCCCAATGTGTGCCCGGCATCTGTGGCTCATGTCTGTAATCCTAGCTACTCAGCAGGCAGAGATCAGGCGGATCACAGTTCAAAGCCAGTCCCTGAAGAAATAGATCATGAGAACCTATCTCGAAAAAACGCAACACACAAAAGGGCTAGTGGAGTGGCTCAAGTTGTGGAGCGCCTGCCTATCAAGCGTGAAGCTGAGTTTAAACCCCAGTACTGCCAAAACAAAAAACTTGTCTCTGCCTGGTGTGGCCACCACCACACCCTGGAGTCAGACCTGCTCCCTGCAGAGCCAACAGGGCTTATCCTGACCTCAACCAGTACTACAAAGCACTTCCCAACCATACCCCACCCGTTAGACCTCTTCCAGGTCTGGGTCTGAAGTCAGGAAGCAGCTCACAGGATGTGTGGCCTTCTGAGTGGAAAACAGTTAAAGACTAGGGAGACAGAATTAGGCCAGCTGAGAAGCTGGCCATGGCATTCACTCAGCAAACAGTCCTGCCTGGAGGGACTGGGACCCATTACTGCAGGGAAACTGGAGCTTGGGCAAAGGGGTGACTTGTCCTGAGCCATCTGTTGTGCAAGTGGCAGGTGGTGGCCACAGGGCCCCTCCCTGGACGTTGGTTTCCCCACCGCCTCTGCTGTGAGAAGGCTCAATGCTGTTGATTTGGGGTTCAACCCTTGGTGATGTTCTTTCCCTGCTGAACTCACTCAGGCCCAGAATCCTGGTAAGGGTAGGGAGAGGTCAGTGCCTAGTGATCCCCCACTTCTGGTTGACTCCACTTTAGCTTTTCACCCTTCAGCTCTGCCCTCTGCATGGAGCTAGGGGACCTTCAAACCCCTCTCTTGCTGCCCCTGCCCTGGGCCTCAGTACCCCCCACCCCCTGCAGCCTCAGGATGGATGGGACAGGGATGGGAGGGGGAGGAGGACAGCCTGGCCCCCAGTGCTTCCTCACAGGCCCAGTCCCTCATGGGCTGGGGATGAGTGGATAAAGACAAGGAGGGTGGGCCAGAGAGGGGTTGGTAGCCCCATTGGCCTAGAGCAGAAGCTAGTAGCCAGCTGCTGGGCCCATGTGAAATCCAGCCCCATGAATGAACCATTGTTTGTCCAAAGGCCATCCTGGCCCTGCCCCTCTGCCCACTGGGGGCTGGGACTCCTGAGACCCTGAAGTTCCCAGGAGGACCCTGGCAGCCATCTCCTCAACATTCCAAGCACCTGACAAAGATAACTTTCCCCATCTCACCTTTGCAGAAACAGACAGGCTTCAGAGAACAGCCACCAATACTTACAGACAGGGGTGGACATTCACCACTGCACCCCACACTAGGAAAGAGGCTGCATACTACAGGCATATTGCAGGGTAGGTAGGCAGAAACACCGAGTGTGAAGGGGGACCTGCTGCAAGCTGAGGGAGCACTTTTTGCAAAGGAAAGCCACTGAAAGGCCTCTGCCATGTGAACAGCACTCTGTCTGGGGGAGGTGAACCTGCTGGGGGCCGGACTTTCACTCCCTCCACCCCACTTCTGCCATGCCTGGCAGCCCCCCTGCACATGCCTTTTGGATGAGGATCTGGCGCAGCCAACAGAGGCTCCTGTCTGGTGTTGGGGGAGGAGAGGTCCAGCATGAAAATAGATGACAGTGCCCAGGGCCCCATGAAGAAATTAACCCCAAGAAGAGGGCAAGCCAGGGACCAGGGCAGAATTCCCAGCTGGGGATGTCACTGCCATAACAGATGTGTGCTTGCTCCATGAGCCACATAGCACTGTCTGCATTTCCCCTGATCATGCAGAATACCCAGCCTGAAGTATACCACAGGAATCCAACTGAGTTAACACAAGCAGGCAGTTCAAAGGCCACAGATATTAACATAGGTGGTGCCTCAGGACCCCGATTCTTTGGGGTGGTGCCTCATCTTGCCCTCCCAAGGTCACAGCCAGGCAGGGGGGTATACAGGTGTGTCTAGCTGCGGGTGCACACAGGACTAGGCAGGTGAGGCCTCTGAGGCTATGCTGGGCTATCTTGAGAGGCTGGATGCTCCCAGACCCCTCTACTCCATGCAGGTCTTCCTCTATAGTGTGTGCACAGCACCCTCTGGTGGCCACCATGGAGAAGAACAAAACCATAGGAACCCTGGTGTTTTGGGGGGTCCAAGCCTATCCCAGTTCTTCCCTGGTGGCTCTTTTCAGGGCTGTGGACAAGGGGCCACAGCTTTTTTTTTGGCTTCTTTGGCATTACATGCTGGGGTCCTGTCCCCCATTTCCATCTGAGTGGATTCCTGCTTCCCTGGGAACTCCGGAAGAGCTGGCCAGGGTTCTCCACTCCCCTGACTCTTCCTTGTTTACAGGCACCTTGAGCTCCTCACCTGGACCAGCTAAAGGCCCAGTGCTGTGCTCTGCCTGGGAAGGAGGTCAGTTTAGGGGTCTGGATCCCCTTGACCAGGAGGTCCCACAAGTTCTTCCCTTCAGAATCTGCCAACCTGCCCTGTTGCCTCTCCACCCTTGGAGCTCTGCCCCCAAGCTCTCCCAGTCCTGTGTCCCCTTGCTGGTTCCAGCCATCAGGGTACAGGGTGGGGAAGTGACTCCTTCTTAGGGGTCCTGAGACCCCCCCCACCCCAAGTGGGTACTGCCCTTTGCAACACAGCACTGGGCTGGAGCTAACTCTAGAGACCCTGAGCCCCAGAACCCTCATTCAGCCTCAGCAGGCAGTGCTGAGTAGAAGGCTGTGAATAAGCAGGCTCCACAGAATCTGCAGGTCATCAGCACCTCCTTTTGACCTGGGCTTCCCAGACACCTGAGGGATAATAACCCCTCCTACCCCTTTCCCCTGGCTGTAACTAAGAACTGAGCTACAGGGCCCATATCTCCTCCCCTGCCTGTTAACCCTGACACTGACTTCCCTATTATTCTGGCCTGCTCAGAATCCGAGCAGGACACCCTTGCCCACTGGTGCTGGACCACTGACCCCACAGCCCCACTGTGCCTCACAGCAGAAGTGAACACTGACAGATGGGGTCAGTCTTTATTGTGCCAGATTGGGGGGGAGGGGAGGTCCCAGTGGTCATCCACAGCAGACTGGCAGTTCTGCAGTCCTGGCCCTGGGCATACAGACATTGGAGGGGCCTGGGTCACTGGGGAGCAGTGAAGGGGTCACCCCAAAAACGGGTGGTGGGCCCTTCCACTAAGGGGTCAGAAACAGACCTGTGGCCTTCAGGAGAAAATGAAAGTGCAGACATAATCAGACAGCACTGGCTTCAGACAGGCAAGATGCTGGCCTGGCCCAGGACTGGCCACCAAGGGCAGAGCTGACAGGAGACTCCCACACACACCCACTCAAGACTCAAACACAGCTGGGGATGACAATGTGTCAGAGATGCACTAACCCCCAGGCTCTAGTGACTTGTTTAAAAGGAAAAACTCTAAGCTCTACATGGAGAAGAACCTCATTTAGTTTCAACTGAAAAGCAAACACAGTGGGTGGGGATCTACAGCTGGTTTGCTTTTGCCAGGTGGATTTTCTTTGAGGTGAGAGGATCTGGAATTTGGCAAACATGGGAACGACTCCTGCGGGAGGTGGGACACAGGCTCCAGGCAAGGGGCTCTGGCCCTCAACCACTGCCCTGCACCCAGGGCCCCGGCTGTGCTGTGCACCTGCTCAGGTGGCGGTCCTCTGGCGGACATTCTTGTCTTTGCTGTCCACTTGCCCGCTGCTCTTCCTAGGAACACAACAGGACAGAGCATAACATTCAGCCTGACCTCATGGTTGGAGCACTAAGCAAATCTGAGCCTCACCATTCCCCCACTGCCATCCTATGGAGGCCCACAAGGGTGAACTGAAAGTGGAGAGGTCTGGGGTTCCCCCCCGCCCCGTGGGTACTACATGGGTAGTGGGCAGCATCTTAGATCCCTCAAGATTCCCAAGGAGTGGACTTACAGTGGTGCAGAGCCCAGTTCATCATCTGATGATGCACAGTCACATGGAGAAGAGAGGACAGGCATTAGTGTAGGCCTGGACAGGCCCTGGCAGTCAGCCAACCCACTATGAGGTCCTTCTGAGACAGAGCTGTGCAGGAAGCTGGCCCTCCTTGCCCCTGGGGTGTGCAGCCACACGCAGGCCAGAAGCTGCCAACCTGGTGCCCAGCTGCATGCAGCAGGCCACAGGTGGGCAAGGCAGACGCAGGAGCAGGGATGCCTTCAGGCCTCAGCCCAGTCCATGCAGTCGGGAGTTTGCACGTGCCCGCACCCTGAGCACCACACAGCTGCCACCTGAGCCCCAAGGACAGTGCTTACCCTGGAGGACACCAGCTTGCAGCCCAGTGAGGAAGCAGAGAAGGTGGTAAACTGGAGGACTGAAGATTCCTCACCCCTGCCCAGGCCCTGGAGACTCCCCTATCCCTGCTCCTCATCACTCACCATCCAGCTCCTCACTGGGCTTCTGCCGCTTCTCACACATGAAGATGATGGTAAGCAGCACAAGAACCTCAGCCACGATGCCCAGGAAAGGCCAGAGTGCGGCAAGGCGGCTGTGTACGCGCACTGTGAAGGTGGCCTCGTCGCTGCCCTCTGAGTTAGTGCCATTGCATACATAGGTGCCGCGGTCAGAGCCCACTTCCAAGTTCTTGATGGTCAGCTCTGACTGGGTCTCCGAGGAATTCACGAAGTACTTGTTCTGGGAGCCATTGGTGATGAGCTTGGGGAAGGGTTGTCAGGACTATCAGGACTGGACTGGAGGCATGGGGCCTCCCCTGGTCCCAGGGTCTCATGTCCCCAGCTGTGGACACTCACCTGGTTCCCAGAATCAACCTTCTTGTACCAGGTCCACTCAATGATGGGGGCATAGGACTCTGACTTGCAGGCTAGTGTGATTGTCTCCCCCTCGTCAGCATGAGCTGACTTCTTCACAACCTTGATTCTGGGGCGCCCTGGAGGGAACAAGGAAGGAGCCTGACACCCAGACTGTAGGACTGCCAGAGAAAGCCACCCGCAGCCCAGACATGTCAGTCCCAGCCTGTGGCAGGGTGCCCCACAGTCCCAGACTCACCGCTCACTGTGATGTCAGCCTTGCCCACAGACTCGGGGAGGAAGATGCAGGAGTAGTTGCCTGACCTGTCCTTCATATCCACCCTGCAAACAGAGTGGATGTGGTGAGAAAGGCAGCCCAATAGGGTAAGGCAGGTGGCCTATGGGAGCCAGGCCCGATGGGCCACATATAGCCTTCGCTTCATCACAGTGACACTGTACTGGGTGAGTTCAGGCCTCAGTGGAGCTCCGGCAAGGCCATGTGCTGGCAACCCTACCAGGGACACCTATAAGGAGGCATAAGGATGCCAGAAGAGAGGTGGCCCTTGCTTCCCTAGCAAGGAGGACAATAAAAGAGCTCTGCGGTCCCTGAGCCTGCTTGAGTCCCAATTAAGCCTAGGATTGGTCACATCGCACAGGTCAGAGTGACATAAACTTCATGCTTTGCTTTTCTGTCAGAAACAAAGCCACCAAAGTTTTCATATGTGCACAGGGCCCTGATGAGCACCTGGTTATTTCTGGCTGGGGACACCAAGGTGGCACCTGTGTGTCCCTAGATCCAGGGAGGCTAGCTGGGCCCTGTCTCCCACACTCTAGGATGCTCCTTGGCTCCCAGACTCTCTCTGGCCCTCCCTTACCATCAGGAGTCTGAGAACAGCTTGTCCTCATGCTCACCTGATAGAGCCCAGTGACCACCATCTATTCCCAATGACCACAGGGACATCAACAGTGGAAAGACTTCAGCACGAGCCGGTAACCCCAAGTGGCTCCTGAGCAGGTCCCTCCCTAACAACCCATCTTCCAGGTCACTTACTCGTACTGTGTGCTCAGCTCTGCCAGTGTGTCCTCCTTTACCACCTTGCCATCTTTTATCCACCGGTGGCCAGCAATCTCCGTGGGTCTCTGATTCAAGGTACAGGTGAGGCGTGTCTTGGAGTCAACTTCCTCCACGGAGGTAAGGATGGAACCCGCTAAGAGGCCACAGCAAGGAGGTCAGCACAGAATGAATGCAGAAGCTTGCCCCAGCAGCCAGCCCTGTCTGCATCCAGCTGGAAACCACTGGAAACCAGTGGACTGGACTGAGGAACTCCCAGGAGTTCCTCTACCACCCTGCATAAAAGGCCTCTCCCTATGGCTTCAGGGCCAGCCTGAAGCATGCTTTCTGCCCAATGTCTGACTCTCAGACCTGAGTTTGAGAGCAGATAGGAACATTCCCAACACCCTCCAACAGGGATCCAGAAACAGGGGAGACAGGTCACCAGTGAGGGAGTGGTTAAGCAGGCGTTCAGGGAGCAAGGGTGGAGATGGATGGAGCAGGACAGCAAGTGATGAAACGGAGCAGGGAGAGCTGAGGGAAGCAGCCAAGGACCCAGGCACCAATTCACTGGATTGGTCCACGCAAACTAAAAGCTCCTTTCCAAGACAAAGACCTGGTTGTGTGGGTCACAATCTCAGGGTCCCACTTCCGGGTGGGGCCACAGCTCTACAATCCCACCACTTTGTAACAGAGCAAGCCTCATGGGCAACTGACAACATTCTCTTTAGGTTCAAAATTTGATCATCATTTAGAACCAGAAGCTGAAAACCCTGGGAAGAAGATTCTAGAGGACATCGTGTCTGGCTGAGTTCAGCAGGGTTCCACAGGCTAAGCTCAGTAGGGCTCTGCAGATTTGGCACATGGATGGTTGGTGTGACTATTTGGATAGTAGATCCCAGACCTACTGGCTAGCCAGGCCAGTCAGTCAGTGAGGGAGGGGCTGGGTAGATGCTTGAGGAAGCGGATGCAACAGAGAGGACAGTGAGGGGTCAAGGACCCACCTGCAAGAAGGTAGGGTCTGCCTGTGCCCCTGCCAGGATACATGCTGAGTGGTCAGCCCACCCACATCCAGGCCACAGCCCCTGGGTTATGCGGGTAGTGTCCCTGTTGGGACAGGGCAGAGAGCTGGATGGGGCAGTGTCTGGGCTCTACAGAGCAGGATCCAGGGCCGGGCAGTACAAGAGGGAAATGGAGGCAGATGACCTGGCCACTCACGTTTGAGGACTACCAGGCTTGCTTGGGCATGGACCCACTTTACCCTGGGCACCTGGGTCAGGTGGTTGCGATCAGGGTCGTTGCTGGCCCGGCACTCATAGGTGCCTGCATCGTCTGTGGTGAGCTTGTCGATGAATAGGGTACTGGCTGCATGCTGGCAGTATGTGGCGTGGATGTGGATGCGGTCCAGCCGGGCGCCATCCCAGAGCTGGGAGCAGGTGTCGTTGGGACCATCCCCTTCAAACCACTACTGGATCTCGGGGACAGGGCTCCCCACGGCCTCGCAATGTAGTGCCACACTGCCCCACACCCGCCCCTCCTGGGACAGTGGAGACTTGATGAAGCCAGCTATGGGAGAGGGTTAGCACCCTGTTATTATGAGGGAGGAAAATGTTGGCCAGGACAGCCACCCCTCGGAACCTGGGCTACCTGCTCTGAGCTTCGCTTCCTTTCAGCTTGTGGGGAGAAGCTTTAGTGTAAAGTTAGGTAGAAAAGCAGAACCTGACAAAGTAGGCAAGAAGCTTCAGGTAAGCTCAGTACAGCAGCAGGTTGCCTCCCTGAGGGACCCCAGAGGATGTTCCTATCCAGAGCGGATCACACTGGGGTAAGAACAACTGTGAGACCATACACAGCTTCAAAACAAAATGTGAGACTGGGTAGGGCAATTTAGATGGCTGCTTGTCAGAATACCCTCTTGGATAATCATCCTAAGGCCTGGAAACTTGGATCCTACAGGCAACCCTGACTTCCACCTGGTTTTTCCCCAAGGAAAGACACTAGTACCGCAGGAGACCTGGTCAGTTGTGGAGCAAAGTAAACTTTAAAACCCAAAAGGTAGATGATCTTCCTCCAGAGATACTGTAGCACAGCTGTCCGAGAAAACCTTGGGACCTCAACCAATGCACCCCATGAAGCTGGGGAAGCAGGTGTGGACTGGACAAGGTATGTGCTGGCTCAGGACCTAAGGCCATCCTGGCCCTGCAGAGGCCTAAGGCCCCTCACACTGGCCACTGCAATTTTTTTTGGTGGGATGAGGTTTGAACTCAGGGCTTCACACTTGTAAAGCAGGCACTCTATCTTTTGAGCTTCACCTTCAGCCCATTTTTGCTCTGGTTATTTTGGAGATGGTGTCTCTTGAACTATTTGTCTGGCCTGGCCTCGAACCTTGATCCCCTTGATCTCAGCCTCCCAAGTAGCTAGATTACAGGTATGAGCCACCAGTGCCCAGCTGGTTTTTGTTTTTTTGAAACAAGGTCTTTCTGCAATTTCTTTAACACCAGGAGGAGTCCCATAGTTCACCAGACCCTATCTCGAAAAAACCCCATCACTAAAAAGGGCTGGTGGAGTGGCTCAAGGTGTAGGCACTGAATTCAAACCCCAGTACCTCAAAAAAAGAAAGGGAAAAAAAAAAAAAGGGACACAGGATCTTAGAACTATAAAGGGGCATGGTACACTCAGACCCAAGTGCCTTTCCCAAACACCTGGCCCAAGGGAGGGCAAGTCCCCACTTGCACACAAGCACATGAGGACTATCTATGGATGCATATGCTTGCCAGCCTGAGGCCTAAGGCTGTCTGCTATGGAGCTAGTCGGTGCCTGCCCCAAGACTCCAGGACCCACAGTTAGCAGCAGTTTTTGGCAGTAGCACTTTTACAATGCGATTGCCTACTGGTAGCCTACCTTTCTTGGGAGTTAAGATTTCCCTGATTGCAAAACTAGCAGCTTCAGGCAGAATGGGAGCAGTGAGTCAGGGCAGAAAGCACAGCGTAGGCCCCTTCCGGCCTCTACTGCCCGCTCCTTTGGGCCAGTTCAGGCTCCCTGAACTTGGCCTCAAGACCAAGTCTGGGCTACATCCCTCGCATACCCCTGCTAGGTTTCTGAAAGGGAAGGGGATGTGGACACCTGCAGAAGGGGGACGGGGACACTGCCCTGTCTCTAGACCACTGGTCTGAGGCCTCCCATCTTGGGGTGAGGACCTGCTCTGGGAGGCCCCTCATGAGCCAGTCTTGGGATATGCAGCCAGGCTGTTCCCACAACTCCCAGGCAATGGCCAGGGGCTGTTGCAGGTCCTGTCCACATTCCCTCTCAACATGGTCTCAGCCATACCCAGGCATAGCCTGTTACAGGTGCTGTGTGCAACATGGTGGGGCTGTCAGGAACAGCTGAGAGTCACAAGTGACCTCAAGACCCTCTGCTGGGCCTCAGAGAAGTCAAGACTGGAGCCCAGTCACATGATCTGAAGTCACCTTAGTCTAAAAACAGCACCTTCCTCCCTGCCACTCGCTGCCAGGCAGGGCATGGGGCCAGACCTGGCCTGGAGGAACCAAGCCTACACCCAGGGAACACAGGCAGGGGTATTCCTCTCTGAGAGCAGCCCACACTCACTCTCTCTTCTCCCCACCCCTTGGCACTGAGACAAGAGTGGGAGAGAACATTCCGGGATGCTGGCCATGGGCTCGTCACCTTTCCCACCCAAAGGCTCCCACTCCTCTCACCTGAGGTTAAGGGCTTTGGTGGGACCCAGCAGGCAAACAAATGCCCTCCTCCTGCACTGCCAACCTGGGCACCCATCTCTGCAGAGGCCCCTGATGGGGATCTTCCAAGCAGCTTAGCTTGGCAAACATGGTCATTTTTTGAACTCAGAGAAAACTGGAGTTTTGAAGGACTGCAGTGGCAGAGTGCTTGCTCAACATTAAGAGGCACTGGCTTTAACTCCCAGAGTCACAAATACAGAAAAACAAAACAGGAATGTCCACACCACACAAGATAGGCGGTGCAACCAGACCCTCAGATCTATGAGTCCCTCTGGGTACAGCAGAAGATGAAGGAAGAAAACAAGCACAAACACACTCCACAGGGGGACTCAGTCACTTTCTGCCCATGAGGACTAGCCTCCAGGTTCGACTATGCTCTGCCATAGGCTGTGTGGCCACACCCAGGGAAGAGGTGTTGGCTCTGCCTAGGAGCCAAGCTGTCTATGGGCAGAAACCCTGCTTGGGCTCTGGGCAATACAAAGGTCCTCTTCCCACTTGACCAAAGGTGGGAAGCACTAAGCCCGAACCAGGCGAGGTGGGTGGGGACTGCAGCCACCCAGCCCAGCTTATCTTCTGCATCCACCTTGCTAGGGGGTTCCTATCTGCACTCCCCAGAGCCAACCTCACTCTAGTTGCTGCTAAAGGCAGTCTCCTCCCTGACCCTGCCTAAGGTCCAGCCATCCATGGCTCAGCACAACCCCTCTCCAACCCCCCCACCCAACCCGAAGCCCTTTGCTAGTTAAGTGTCAGTCACTATAAATAAATCTTTAACCTGGAACAAATGAGGGCCACAATAAACAAAACTCCCTTATTAAGCAGCAGTCTTGCATTTCTTAAGGAGAAACAGCCCTGATCACCTCCCCAGGAGCCTACCCTGCAAACAGCCTGTGGGCAGTGCTGAACTCTGATCTGCTGAGCAGTCTTGAATCTGCAGGAAGAAATCTTCCTGGCCTATTCTGAACCAAGAGGCCAAGGTGACCTAACTGTGACCTTGAACACCTGAGTCTCCTCCTAGGCCTCAGTTTCCTCACTTGTAAAGGGAGGAGGTGGACAAGGTGCCATCTCACTCTGTGCCCCAATCAAACAAAATCAGAGGGCAGTGCAGCCCAGACTCAAGGGAGCTTCCAAGGATGTGAGTATGTGGGAGCATGGAGGGCGTGCCCAGGTCCAGATGTGGCTAAATCCCACCAAGAATGATAATCTATCCAGGTCCAGAGAGCTGACCATATCAGGATCATTCACATGCACTTGATCTCAGTGTCTATCTGGGGACAGCCATTTTCCAGACAATAGTACCAAGGGGGTCCGTGAGCAGCACAGGTCCCAGGCAGTCACATGCAGGGGTCCCAGGATGAACCACTTGAGGTCCTCCCTCAGAAGTCCTTTCCAGGCCCTGTAAGGTCCAGTCCTTGGCCCTGGCTCCAGCCCAGAGAGGCCCCTAAAGCACCAGGGCTTGGGTTTCCCTTTTCCTAGCCAGAGACAAGGGCCGGTGGGCTGCTGCCAAGTCCTGGGGTGAGAGTGCTCACCTCCAGTATGAGGGTAGGGTCTTTGCACCCACACACCCAGGCAGGGACACCTGGATATGCCTGGAGACAAATCTGGCTGCTACTCCCCCAAACCCTAGAGTCATTACCCTTGAGAACTGCCACTTTCAGGAACTCCCCAGGGTCACCTCTTGCCTCCAGGTGCAGCCAGAGTCAGGGCTTCTCCCTCTGGTACCCCCCAACATAGTGGGAACCCTGCACCCCCGTCCAGAGGCTCCCTAGATCCCTGCAACCCTACGCTCACAGCTCTTCAGTCCAGGGCCCCGGGCCCCAGTCTTCAGGAATGTCACCCCCCCAAGCACTACTGCCTCTGGAGACCGTCAGGGTCACCCCTAAATATGAGGGTGGAAACTTCCCTCAAGTTCCCCAAATCACCGGGACGTCGCCCCCGGCCAACGTTGTCCCCCAACAGCCTCCAGGATCACCTCTTACCCCGTTTCGCCTTGATGGCAACCCCCAAGGCGTCGGCTTCCGTCCAGACCCAACCTCTGGGTCCCCCAAACCCTGGGGACGTCGCCCCAAGGCAGCGTTGTCCCTCAAGAACCCCCAGGATCATCTCTCACCCCCGTCCCCCCGGGTGGGGAACCCCCCCAACCAGGCAACGGATCCTCCGACTTTGCAGAGGCCCCAAGGTCCGCACCCCCTTCAGACCTTTCCCCGGGGGTCTCGCACCCTCGGCCCGTTCCTCACCTGCCGCAGACGCGTTCTGGATGCCCAGCAGCGTGAAGGCCAGAGCCAGCAGTACCGCAGCCGCCATACCGCCGTAAGTACCAAGGCCTGCCCCCAACGCCCGGCCGCTACAGCCGCGGCAGTTTAAGTAGGGTAGAGAGCGGCCAGGCGCGCGCACGCAGGTGACGTCACGGAGCGGGGTGAGTGGAGCACGCCGGATGCCACTCCCTGCGCACGCGCGCGCAAGCACGTATGCCAACCCTGGCAGGCAGGATTGCCTCGCGCTACGGAAGCCCGGCTTGCGGGCGGCGGCGACGACACGTGACTTCCGCGAGCCTTCGGACTGAGCGTGTTGCTGGGAAGCTGGGGCTGTGGGGCGGAACCGGAGCTCGGCGTTGCTCCCCTGGCTGTATGTTGTGTTTGGTGTTGTGTAGGGTGGTGGATAGTTGTGAGTTTCTGAAAATTGGTGTCGTTTTACGGTGGTGGGAGTGAGTTGGGTTGGTGTCGTGTTGCTCTGTGTGGTAGTTGGGTAGGTGTGCTGTTGGTCTGTTTGGGCGTGTTGGCAAAGGGTGTATAGGGTGTTAATGTTGTGTTGGTGTGGGGCGCTGTCTTGGATATATGTGTGTGCAGGTGTTTTCTTGTGTTTCGTGTCAGGTAGTTCGGTTCGTTTTGTTTGATTGTTGTGGTGATGGTTGGTTTGGGTTTTGGGGCTCGTCGGTGGGTTGATTGGGGTGTAGTGTGTTTGTTTTGTGAGGCCGGCTTTTGCTGTGTAGCCCAGGCTGGCCAGGAGCTCGCGATCCTCCTGGCTCAGCCTCCTGACTGCTGAGATTACACCCAGCTTTCTCCGATTATTTCTAAAGATTACAAGTCTGGCTGGAAATGGTGGAAATGGTACATTTTTGGACGTGGGATCCCAAGGTTTGTGCAAATAACTTCAAAAAAGCAAAGTTTTTGTTGTTTTCTTTTTTGGAGGGTTGAGTTTTATTTAAATTTTATCACAATAAAAACAAAAAGAAAAGAGGAACATCCCCCCCCCCACGAAAAAAAATACCCGGATGGTCCTTAACTTTGAATCGCAGGTAGAGAAAACAAGGAATGATTTTTTTTTTTTTAGTTTAAGCGCCCTGTACTGTATTTGGACATACTTATTTGAAGAAGTAGTAACCGTTTAGCTGTATTTTGTTTGGCAACCTGACTTTGGGGCCCCTATATCCTACAACAAAAGTGACAACAACAGTGATAAGAGGGAAAACAGGTGGATTTCCTTGTGACTTTGGATTAAGGTTTGGTCTCTTATAGCTGACTCCAAAACATAGCAACAAAAGGAAAAAAGTGGTTTCATCAAAATTTAAGAACTTTTTTTGGTGCTGGCTTTGAACCTAGGGCCTTGGTAGATCCCAGATTTAAAGCTCTGTCATTCAAACACCAACAAGAGTGGCTCAGGTGATAAAGTGCTTGCCTAGTATGTTCAAGGCCCTGAATTTAAAACCCCAAGTAGCTCACGCCTGTAATCCTAGCTATTCAGGAGGCAGAGATCAGAAGAATCAGGTTCAAAGCCAGCTCCAGGCAAATAGCTCTTGAGACTGTATCTGGAAAAAGTCTTCACAAAAATAGGGCTGGTGGAGTGGCTCAAGGTGAGAGCCCTGAGTTCAAGCCCCAGTAACACACACACACAAATTACCTGTTCCAGACCAGCCTGGGCAAAAAGTTAGTGACAAGCCAGGTATGGTGGGGTGCACCTGTAATCCTGACTATACAGGACACATAGGTAGGAGGATCATCGTCTGATGCTGGCCCAGGCAAAAGCAGAACACTGTATCCAAAAAATAACTAAAGCAAGTGCAAGTCCCTGAGTTCAAATCCAGTACTACCAAAAAAAATTTTAAATGGGCAACTGGGGTATGTACCTCAAAAGTAGATTGCATACTTACCATGTGCAAGGCCCTGAGGTTAACACATAGCACAATTTCCATTCCCCCAAAAAGTCGAAGGATCTCAATACACAGTTCTCCAAAGAAGACATACAAGCTGCCCAGTCCCAGTCGGCGTGGACAGGCACAGGACAGACCCTGTGTTGGAGGGGCCAGGACTTGCTGGCAAAGGGCCATGGGCCTTGAGAGCAGCTGCATCTCAGGCTTGAGAACCCCACAGCCCCACAGCCTCCACCCCAGGGGGCCTCCATGCTTGCAAATCACACAGGGCAGTGGAAAGCTACGTGCAGAACAAGGGCTGGGCAGGGAACTGCCAGCTGGCATCAAAGCCCCGGGGGTCATAAATAACCCAGGCTGGGCGGAATCCCTCCCCTGGCAAGTCCAGGTCTCTGGGAAATCTCAGGGCTGCCAGGAAGGCTTTGTTTACAAAATAAAGTGAGCCCTTGTCCAAGGCTGTTTTCTTTTGATTGCCTCCTTGGAAGCCTTTTGCTGATCCCTGCATAGCCCAGGGACTCCCAGGCTCCTCAGCTTCCTGCTCTGTCCTGGCCTCTTTGCCTCCCAAGAGCCATCTAGGACAGCCAGGTTTAGCAAATAAAAGTATAAGACACACGGTTATTTTCTTAATTTTAATTTTTTTTGGCATTATGGAGTTTGAACTCAGGGTCTCAAGCCTAATAGGCAGGTGCTCTCCCACTTGAGCCACAACACCAGCCCTTTTAGCTTTAGTTATCTTTCAGATAGGGTCTTGAGTTTTTGCTGTGTGCCAGCCTCAGACCAAGATCTTACCTTCAGCTTCCCGATATTGTCTGGATGACAAGCATGAGCCCTGCTTGCTGGCTGCAATGGGGAATTTTGAACTTTACCCAGTCTGGCCTCCAATTACAATCCTTAAGATCTCTGTCTCCCAAGTAGCTGGGATCAGAGACAGGAGCCACCTCACTTGATGGAGACACACAGTTAAATTCGAACATCACATTTAAAAAAAATAGGTTGGGTCTGGCGCCAGTGGTTCATGCTTGTAATGCTAGCTAGTCAGGAGGCAGAGATCAGGAGGATCATGGTTAAAAGCCAGCCAGGCAAATAGTTCAAAGCCAGAAGAAACACAGGGCTCTGCATTTGAAACCTGAGTTTCAAATACGCAACGGATAATTCTTAGTATGCATATGTCCACCTACCCACTATGGCACTTTGAGATTTCCATCCCTGTGATGGTCTCTCCCCTGAACTTGTGTCCCCCTGAGCCTCCTGCCCACTTTCAGGGTGCCTTTAGCCAGCTGTGGGGGAGTAAATGGCCAGGACTGGGCTCTAGGGCTGCAGCCTCCCTGGGATAGACCTAGATTTTGGATCGGTTTGTTTTGTTTGTTTTTGGTGGCACTGGGGTTTGAACTCATGAACTCAGGGTCTCACACTTGCTAGGCAGGCACTCTACCACCAGAGCCACTCCCCAGCCACTTTTTTGTGTTTTTTTGTTTTGTTTTGTTTTCTAGATAGGGTCGGTGCAAACTCTTTGCCCTGGGGTGGCTTCGAACCATGATCCTTCGATCTCTGCCTTCTGAATAGCTACGATTACAGGCGTGAGCCACCAGCACCTGGCTAAATTTTGGATCTGAATGTCTTTGCTCAGCAGAGAAGCAAGGAAAGCAGAGCTGGCTCTCTGCGCTCAGTTGGCAGGCAGTCACCCTGGTGAGAGCAACAGGCTGGAGTGTGGCTCAATGGCTTGCTTTGCAAAACCCTGTAGTCCCTGAGCCTGACATAGGTTCCAGTCTCCTTGTCACTTTTCCTGTCTCAGAGCTTTGCCTGAGCAGTGCCTGCCACCTGCCATGCTCTTCCCCTGGTTGCTCCCTCTTTACCTGCTCATACCCTGTGGCTTCTCCTGCCATCAGGTCTCCAGGGGCCTCAGACTCAGGGATACCGGCCCTATCCATCATAGGTGTCTCTTCCTATTTTCCCTCTGAAAACCTTTCAAACTCACAGATAAAGAGCTGGTCCCTTCCCAGTGCCCACATGTTAACTGTGTGCTTTCATTCTCTGTCACATGCACCCATCAATAAGATGGTTAGTCTTTTTTTTTTTTTAATAGTATCAATTTTTTTGAGAAAGGGTCTCACTCTGTAGCTCAGGCTGGCCTCGTTCCTGAGATTTCTTGCTTCAAATTCCTGAGCACTGGGATTACAGACGTGAGCTACTACACCTGGTTGACAAGCATCATTTTAATGATGCTTAACACACACAGAGTAAAGACAGACACAGAAGAGAAGCCATGTGAAAATGGAGGCAGAGTTGGGCGCTAGTGGCTCACACCTGTAATCCTAGCTACTCAGGAAGCAGAGATCAGGAGAATCGAGGTTGGAACCCAGCCTGAGCAAATAGATCTTGAGACCATATCTTGAAAAAACCCTTCATAAAAAATGGGCTGCTGGAGTGGCTCAAGGTGTAGGCCCTGAGTTCAAACTCCAGTACTGCAAAAAACAAACAAACAAAAAAAAAAAACAGAGACAGACTGGGAGGTGGCCACAGTCCCTTATGCTGGTAGAGGTAGGAAGGACTGGAGCCTGGGAGGGAGCTCGGCCCTACAACTTGGGTTTCAGCCTCTGGGCTCCAGTTGGGAGAGTTGGCTTTGAGCTAGTTTGCGGATATTTGGCATCACAGCCCGGGAAACTCCTTCTGAGGGGAGGTGTGGGAGAGGTGGGCCCCACAGCTGTTGGATGAGTGCCCAGTGGGGAACAGCAAGGCACCAGCTGGCTTTATGGCTGGGTTTGCCCCAGGTGGTGCCTGCACCTCCAAGTGGAATTCCTCCCCAGAAGCCACCTTAGGAGACTTCAAACAAGGTAGCTGCCTTCTCACCTCCTCCCTTGACTAACTAAATATATACGGCCTTTTGTTTTTATTTTTTAATTTATTTTATTTTATATTTATTTGAGCTTGAACTCAGAGCCCCACACTTGCTAGGCAGGCACTCTACTACTCAATCCACTCCACCAGCCCTTTTTTGTGAAGGGTTTTTTGAGATAGGGTCTCACAAACAATTTGCCTGGGGCTGGTTCTAACCATGATCCTGCTGATCTGTGCCTCCTGAGTAACTAAGGATTACAGGTGTGAGCCACCGTGCAGGCCTGAACTACACTCTTGCTGTAGTTACTTTTTGGATAGTATCTCTTGTTTTTGCCTGGGGCTGGCCTCAGACTTTATCCTTCCTACCTGTGGTGTTCCCTGTAGCTGGGATCT